CCGGCTGGTTGCCTTTTGGGGGTTTGTTGTAGATGCTGGAGGATGAAGGGAGGAGTTTGCCAGACAGCAGATCAGATGCTTCTCAGAGGAGCAGAAAGGTCTGTGTCAGGTGGAGAAAAGCCTTTCACACAGTAACCCAACCTCGGCCAGGTTTCTGGCCTGGACCCTGGGAGGGTCCCACGAATGAATCCGGCAGCTGTTCCTGGATCCGACAGGGAGAGGGGGCACTGTCCTGCCCTGGGGCAGGAGCCATTCCCCTGGCAGGGCGAGAAGGAAGAGGTCGATCAAGGGGTGCACAGCCAGATCCCGGAGGCAGGCTGGTGTCTCTGCTCATGGGTGTCAGTGTCTGTACAGAGAAGCTAAGAAATCGCAGATGGTTTAGGCAGGTGCCTGTGAGGCCCACTGTGTGGTTTCCTGCTGGGGTGAGTGGCCACCGAGCCTGGAGTACCTGGGCCTTCAGTGATGGGGCATGTTATCACTAGGCATGGGCCTGGTAGTCAGGATGCAGGTCTGTCTGTGGCGCTTGGTCACAGCCCCTGTGTTGCTGTCCTGTTTGTTCCCATGCTAGCTAGGTCCCTCTTCTGTCCCAGGCTCCGTGTATCGGCTCCCTGCCTCCTGCCCTGGGTGCTGCTCTGTCCTGAGCCCTGTCTGAATTCCCAGAGTCATACTTCTCAAAAATGTAACCATTTTCCCCAACCTGAACCTGCGTTCTGATGCCATGTGGTTGGTTGAGGCCAAAGGCAAAGTGAAGGGACTGTGTGTGTGCATGCACGAGCTGGGGTGAGGGCAGGACCTTGCGTTCTTGGCAGTTCCCCGCCAGCATGGGTCTCCTGGAGGTGCGCTGGCCCTGTTCTCTCTTCCCGACAGTGAAGGCCCCGCTGGTCTCGCAGGCCTTTGCTCCCAGAACAGCCTATGGCTCTGCCTTCTCGCCTCGTTTATTTCCGAGGAGGCTTCTCCCCAGAGTCGGGGTGAGCCCTCTTTCTGTCTGCCTGTCTGGATCTGCTACGAGAGGCCTGCTCTTTACTCAGTCAGGGAGGGGTCTGCCTAAAGGGTCATTGTCATTTGAATAACAGTAATAACATCAGTGAACATTTATTGACCGATTTACCATGTGCCAGGCACTGCTAAGTGTTTTACATGCCAGTCTCTTAATTTTCCCAACAGCCCTGCGGGGTGTATATTACTAATCTTGCCCCTATTTTACAGCAGAGGAAACTGAGGCAGAGAGGCTGTCACCTGCCAAGGTTACATGGCAAATGAGTAGATGAGTCTATTCAATCCAATTTGATGTCTGATTAAAATCTCTGTTCTGAAATCCTAATTGTGGTTTCTCCCACTAAATTGGAATAGTGCCTGGGAACTGTGACCTGGATTGATTGGAGTGACAGTATCAGGTAGGGAGGTTCCTTCCCTGCTTCTCTACACACACACACACACACACACACACACACACACACACACACACCACCCCCCCGGAAGAAATGTTCCTGGGCCAGCTTTGGTAAGGGCTGGGGGTCTGGAGAAGTGGGACAGAGCCTTTCTGAGAGCACAGCTGGTGCCCGCTGCAGCTTAGTCATTTTTTAAGTTGCAGGGCGGGGTAGTCTCTGACCCCCAGAGGGATGTGCGATGCACACCTTGCCCACTGCAGCCCTCAGCACTGCTGGGGGTTCAGGGCAGCTCTGTGTCCGCTCTGTGAATACAGCCCTAAGTTGGCTCCTGCCTCCTCACAGCAAAACTGTCCTCACCAACTTTCCAGAGACCAGAGTTCTGCAACCACCAACTACAGGCCTTAGTGCTTGAAGCCCAGAATTTCAGCGCAAAGAATTCACACTTTTCTTTGGATTATTAGGCAAGTACTAGCCTTCACACTGTGCGTGTGCCTAGAATTGGATTCCCTGACTCATGAAAGGAGCTTCCCAGAGAGCACTCAAAAGCCTCCTAAAAGGAGCTGAGTCAGGGCTGAGCTGCACTGGGCTGAGAAGCAGCCTTCCTTGTAGGTTGATCCAGGTCTTGCAAAACCAGGGAATTTGGCTATGAGAGACCTGAGGACCTTATGGGTAGGGCCAGGTAGCGGGGTTGCTGATCATAGCTGGCTACAGATCCATGGGCTCTGACTGCACAGTCTAGATGGCCAGAGAAAGTGGGTAGGAAGGAGGAACCCAGACATTTTTGAGTGAAGGAGTGACATGATGGAAAGTTAGGTTTAGAACAGTGGGAGTGGACTTAGCAGTGTGGCCAGGTCTGCAAGCGTGAGCCCTGTTTAGTCATGTTTACACATATCCTGTTTTTAAAATATAAATACATTGTTGCCCTGGCCAGCGTGGCTCAGTTGTTTGGGTGTCGTCCTGTGCACCAAAAGGTTGCCAGTTCAATTCCTGGTCAGGGCACATGCCCAGGTTGCGGGCTCAATCCCTGGTAGAGGGCATGCAGAAGGCAGCCGATGAATGTTTCACTCTCACATCAATGTTTCTCTCCCTCCCTCTCTCTCTAAAAATATTAAAAATTAAATACATATATATTGTTAAGAATAAATTAAGCCCTAGCTGGTTTGGCTCAGTGGATAGAGTGTCAGCCTGCGGACTGAAGGGTCCCAGGTTCGATTCTGGTCAAGGGCACATGCCAAGGTTGCGGGCTCAATCCCCAGTAGGGAGAATGTAGGAGGCAGCCAGTCAATGATTCTCTCATCATTGATGTTTCTATCTCTCTCTCTCCCCTCTCCCTTCCTCTCTGAAATCAATAAAAATATATTTTAAAAAATAATAAAATGTGTGTACTTACATTAAAAACAAACAAACAAACAAAAACCGACACGAGAATACCACCTTCTAGTTGATTCTGGCCACACCTATAGCCCCCTCATGCAGTTGCCTCCTCTATGCATTGGGACCACAGAGTGTGCAGGACTTCACAGACTTCAGTCCGATGATGAAAAGAATGATGAAGGCTGACTCTAGGAGCAGTAGGCAGGTGCTTGGGCTGAGGAGGCTTTGGCCCCATGTCCCAGCAATCCATGGTGGTGTGGAGGGCCCCAGAGGCAGAGGAGAGATGTGGAGGGGATATTTCCAGGACAAAGGAGACAATGAGCCCATTGAGTATGTATTGCCAGTGTCAAGAGAAGGCCCAGGGGTGGCACTGCTTTCAGGGTCAGATGAGTAGGCACTGAACTTCCTGACATAGGTACCGCCGAGGTGACAGGCTGGCAGAGGTGGATAGCAGCTGTGTGGGGCCTCACTGCCAGAGGGACCCTGCTGAGGAACGGAGAGGACCAGCGCATGGTGTTCGCCCTCACGGGTGAGCAGAGACAGGAGAGCTGGGGGCTGGTGAGGGACCTAGAAGACCATTGACTCCTCGGGTTTGCAGAGGCAGAGACTGGCGGTCCCTGCTTCCTTGGTGCCCTTTCTCCAGGACCCGGCTTAGGTGGGCCCCTGTTCAAACCTAAACCCAAACCCAAAGGGGAGTGAAGAGGCTGGGGTTGGTTTGATAAATTCTGAAATGCCTCCAGCGGTGCTGCTGGAAGGGGGGGGGGCATGCAGAAGGGACCCTGGCAGTGGTGTTTGGGACCTGGCATGGGGGAGAGGGGGTTTCTGCCTCACGGGGCTCAGCCTTAGGAATTGCACAATGCAGGCCGTTCTGGTCTCTGAGCTGGAGGGAGTGCCATTTGATATACCTGCTGCTTCCTAGTGTTTGGCCAGGGTTGAAAGTCAGCAAGGCCTGAGGGAGGTGTCAGAATTGCATTGAAAGCACATCTGATAGGTGGGACTTGGGGTCACAGGGGCCAGATCAGGCCATGAGAGGAGCAAGAATAACTGGGAGCACAGGTTAGGTAGAGTTGGGCCCAGGGTGGTGTCTAGGCAACAGTGATATGGGAAGGCAGGCCAGGAATGAGGCCAGTGCCACCAGGGAGCCCAGGTCAGGCAATGCCAGCTGCCCACAAAGCCCCTGGAGCTGGAACTTATGGCAGAGTCTAGAAGAGGTCAAAGCATGCTAGAACCAGGCCGGCCCTCCTCCTGCCCAGAGGACCCCCAATGACAGGAGAGGAGCAGCTGAGTGTGGCTCTGGAATCAGACAAGCCTGGATTTGAGAAAAATGTAAAATGCAAAGTAAAAGCCTCTATCCCTTCCCACACCGACCTCTAAGTTTCGTATTCTTTCAGAGACTTGTGTATATGTGTGTTTGTGTGTATATATATATCCTTTCATTCTACAAATAAAACAAAGCACTGCTCTATCCCTTGCTTAATTTATTAGCAATATGGAAGAACCACCTAGTTCTTCTTCATGGCTGCTTAGTATTCTCGATGTGCTATGTACTGACTTACCTATCAGTCTCCAGGTGACAGAAATTGAAGTTCTTGATAGTTTGGGGTTATTTTGATACAGTAGCAATTGCAGCATACACCTATTTTTAAACACCAGAATTATTTTTGTAGAAAAGTTCTAGATACAGTGCTGGGTCAGCGTTGTGTGTACCCCCAAACCCAATTTTCTTTCAAAGGGCTTCTACTAGTTCACACTCTTGCAAACAGTGTTGAGAGTTATAAATGGTGATGGTAACAGCCTGTTGTGAGGATTAAATGAGATAATGTATAAAGCTTTCGGCCAGTCCCTGCCACATCAGGCTGCAGGCCAGGGCTCACTGCAAACTGGATCACTGGTCAAGTATCCAGAAAGGTGCTGGTCTGGGTTTCAGAGAAGGGGAGGTGGCAGGAAACAGTGGTCTAACAGTTGCTGAGCAGATGGCACCTTTATTTACACATTGAAGAAATGGCGTGCCAGACACTGGCATGGGACTGGACCAGTGAACCAGGTAGGCGTGGCTCCCCCCTGGTGGAGCAGCAATCTGGAGAGGGAGGGAGACAGCCAACATGTCTCCACAGATTGTGTGCTAAGTGCTATCAGCACAGGATGCTGCTGCTCATATTGCCCCCTGACTGGGTCTCTCTCCCCCCTGCCCTTCCCTGTCCCTCCCCTGCCTCTACCCTGCCCCCACTCTGCCCCCAGTGTACGTGATGCAACAGGAAAGGAAGACGGACGACACCGGGTGTCAGGCGGCCTTGGCTGCGTGCTGGGCCGCCCTCTGCTGCTGCTGCCTCCTGGACAACTTGGACTGAGCAGCCAAGACCCAAGTGCTCCCTCCAGGCGTGCTGCCTCCTGTAACTGGAATAAACAACTAGTGCCGCACAATTTCCATTTTTCTTTCTTTGACAAATACCTAATTTGCAGATTTTTAAATTTTAGCACCGATGATGGGTGTGAAATGGTATCTCACTATTCCAGTTTACCTTCCCTCGTTTTTAGTGACCTTGAATATATTGATTTGCTTTTACAAATCTTTTGAATTGCCTTTATATCTTCTTAGCCCCCCCCTTTTTTTCTATTTGTTTGTCTTACTGATTTGTAGGGAGTTTTTAAATATTCCACATACTAGCATGTTACTATTATAGGTTTACAAATATCTTCTCCCTGTCTGTCTGTCAATCTTTCTTATGTTGTATTTTCTAGTATGAAAGTTTTTAAATGTCATATTTATCATCTTTCCCTCATGCTTTATGTGCTTTAGTCTTTGAAAACTAACTTCCTATTCTAAGAACATAAAAATAAGCCTATATTTTCTTCTAAAATTATTCACATAGAATCTTTAGTCCACCTAAATTTATTTTTGATCATGGTATAGGATAAAGTTCTGGCTTTCTTTTTCCATTTTGATAGTTCCAACACCATGTATTGATTAGGTCATCCTTTACCCATTGATTTGAAAAGAGATTTGTCATATACCAAGTTTCCAATAAACAACTGGGCTAGAATCAGAAGTCTGGTATGTTAAACATCTTCCCAGCCCTGGCACATGCCCATTTTTCTTCCTCAGAATTTTCTTGGCTATTCTTGGTCTTTCACTCTTTAATCTGGATTTTAGGATGAGTGTGTGTCAGTTTCTGTGGAAAACCACCACGTTTGGCTTTAACTGGGATGACATGTCATTTACAGAGTACTTGGGGAAAGAGTTGACATACTTACAGGATTGTCTTCCTATCATGAACATGTTATCTCTCCACTTACTTTTGTCTTCTTTTAAATCCTTCAATAAAGTCAGATAATTTTCTTCATATAGCTTTTGCATATTCTTTGTTGGTTTTAAAATTGGAGTTCTCCTTAAGTACATTATAGTTTAAATGCTACTGTGAATGAATGCTTTTTAAAAAATACTACATTTTTGGTAAAAATAATTTCTTCACTCCTGTGGGATCACAGATTAGAAGATTCTAACCCAGTTTTATCACCTTGGGGCACTTTAAATTGGGAAGAGCAGTTCATCGACCTGCCCTTTGCATACTCCCAGGGAAGCACCCACCGTCTACAAGGACCCACATTCACTCTGTAAATGCTGAACAGCTCCAGTTATTAGGTGATAGACCATATAGAACAGACTCCATCCTTGCCATCGTGGTGCTAACTGTAAGGAAGGAACTAGACATTAAATAAATCCCATAGGTAATAACTGACCATCTATATTCCTATGAAAAGAAGATATGTATTGCTATGAAAACATAAAAGGGGGACCAACTTGCACAGTCTAGGAGGGATATGAAAGATGAGTAAGTGTCCTCAGGCAAAGTGGTTGTAGGATGAACAGGTGCAAAGGCCCAATGGCAAGAGAGATCATGACTCATTTGAGAAACTAGAATCAACATGACAGAGAGCAATTGGATGTTGGGAAACAGATGAGAAACAGGCAGGAGCAAGATAAGGGGCTCATAGCCCCAGTTAGGGATTTTGATTTTTGTCATGTGAATGGTGGTGGGAAGCCATTGGAGAATTTCAAGCAAAGGGATGACATGATCAAATTTGCATTTTGAGAGATCCCTTTGGCTTCCATGTAGAGAATGATGGAGAGACATGAATGCATTTGAAATATCTGGAAGCAAAATCAACACGACTTGGTAATGGACTGGATACAGAGATTGAAGAAGGGAGAGGTCAGGGATGATTTCTGGGCTTTTGACTAGAAGTAGACGCCTAGTGGTGATGTTTGTGGAGGTTGGGAACAAAGGAAAGGAACATGTTTGGTTTGGAGGAAGAGAGAACCAAGTTGAGCTCTGAACATATCAGACTGAAGTATCATGGTGTAGATGTCATGTAATCATGGAGCTTAGAGAACAGGTCGGGCTGGAGATATGGGGAAGGCATTGGTCTATTGGTGGTAATTGGAACTGTGGGAGTGAATGAGATCAAGTTGGGTAGAAATATGGATGGAAAAGAAAAGGTGGCATGTAGGGCTGAGCTTTGAGGAAAACTGAAGTGGACCTGTAGATGATGAACCTAACCTACAAAGTCAGAGATCATAAACCCAGGAGAATGGGGTGTCCTGGAAATGGAGAGAAGAATTTAAGCAGGGAGTGATCAGATATTGCTAGGAGGTCAGGTAACATAAGAACTCAGAAATGTGTATTGGACTTAACCACACTATTATCAATGGGGAGGGGGAGGGGGACTTCTCTCCAGTTCCTGTTCTGTGAAGGACACCAACAGAGGAAGACAGGACTGCTAGGACCAGAGATAGGGGTCCTCAGGTCTGGAGGGAAGCAGACATTTGTGTAGGCATGGAAGAGACAAGCTCAGAGGTACAAAGAACCAGCTGGGCATGAAGGCATAGAACCCTTGCTAAACTGGAAAGAAGCATGCAACAACACATCAAGTTCCAGAAAGGCCAGACACCAAGTAAGGGAGTCAGGCTAATTCACTCAGCTTTGAATATAGAAAGAGAAGATACTGTTCCTCAAGCAGAATGTGTCCCCTGGGGTGGTTGGTTGGTGGAGGATCCATCATGTAGGTCACCAAGCATGTGACTATCCATGCTCTGGGGAGGCCCTGCTGAACAGTATAGATCCTTCATGACTGCCATTTTCAGATTTTTCTAATGTTTTCAAAAGAAACTTCACAAACAACTCCAGTATGAGAAAGATACTTTGGAATTGCAGTTGAGATGAGGGACCACCCCCTACCTTTTTATGGAACCCCTGGGAACCTGAGAAATAGTGCAATTGAAAGCCTTTGGTCTTTCCAGATTTTCTAGTGCATTTGGCCAAGCCCAGGGAGGGTCGGGCTGGATGAGGTTTGCCCTGGAATGTCCTTCTGGGATACTGCCTCACAAGCAAAATCAGTGTGTAACTGCTGGTGTGTATTCTGTTAAGATCTGGAAGGTACTTTATCGCTGGGTTATTTCCACTTTTTGGCGATTATAAATTTATGTGCAGGTTTTCCTGTGAAACTAATTTTCATCTTTAAGGGGAGTGGAATACCCAAGAGTGGAATATATGGATATGATTAAGTATGTGTTTAAGAAACTGCTACTGATTTCCAGAGTGGCTGTACCATTTGTATTCCCAAGGGTAAAGAATGACTTCTAGTTGCTCTGTATCCTCACCAGTACTTGATATTATATTTTTTCAATTAGCCATTCTCATAGGTGTAATAGTGGTATCTCATTGTGGTTTTAATTTGCATTTTTTAAATGCCTAATGCTGTCATGTATGTATTTGCCCTCCTTATATCTACTCTTTGGTGTCTGTTCAAGTCTTTATTAATTTCAGAGAGAGGAAGGGAGAGGGATAGAAGGATAGAAACAATGATGAGAGAGAATCATTGATCGGCTACCTCCTGCACATCCTACACGGGGGGTCAAGCCTGCAACCCGGGCATGTGCTCTGACCAGGAATCGAACCGTGACCTCCTGGTTCACAGATCGATGCTCAACCACTGAGCCACACCAGCCAAGGCTGTTCAAGTCTCTTGCCCATTTGTAAATGGAGTTGTTCTCTTACTGTGGACTTTTGAGTCTTTAATATTAATTCTAAATATTAAGTCCTTTGTTGCAGACTATCCCCTTAACAGTGTCTTCCACAAAACCAAAGTTTTCCATTTTGATTTTTTTTTTCTTTTTCTTTTCTAGGTCATGCTTTTATGTCAGGTCTAAAAACTCTTTGCCTAACACCAGGTCATTAAGATTCTCTTTTGTGTGTTTTTTAAGTTTTACATTTAAATCTATGATCCACTTTGGTTTAATTTTTATATAAAATGTGAGGTTTTTTTAGTTTTTTGTATGCCAATTTTTTCAACATTTGTTTGAAAAAAACTACCCTTTCTCCATTGAATTGCTTTTGCATATTCGTCAAACATCAGCTGACCATGTTGCTGTGGGTCTATTGTCCTCTTTGTTCCATTTCTTTGATCTCTGTCTCTCCCCCTTTGCCAATACCAAACTGTCTTGACTACTGTAGTTTTATATTAAATCTTTCTTAAAGTAAGGTGGTGGGTTTCCTCCAACTTTATTCTTTTTCAAAATTGTTTGTTGTTCTACTTCTCTTGCCTTTCCATACATTTTAGAATCAGTTTAGCCACACACAAAAATATTGCTGGGATTTTTATTAGAATTGGATTAAATCTACATATCATTATGGGGTCTGAGGGGTATTTCAATGGGATTGCTTGTTCACTCTTATGTGCCACAGCCTTTAATGATGCAAGTCAGCCTGCTCCTTCCTTCCTTTGCTGTGTTGTAGTTATTCGAGTTAAACCCCAGCTTATGACTGGTTACTTTGGTGTCTTTTGAAGTCTGGCAGTAACAGAGATGTGGCCTACATCACTGTGGTACGAACAGCCATGAAAAGATGACTAGCATGATGAGCGGCTTGCGGCCTGGCCATGCTCTGGGTCAGTAAGCCACCATCATTCACAGCCTTAGTTTCCATGAGTCTCAACTAATGAACAGTTTGTGAGCAGGAGCATGATGGTTTGCCAGCCCTTAGAGCAGCGGTTCTCAACCTGTGGGTCGAGACCCCTTTGGGGGTCGAACCACCCTTTCACAGGGGTCGTCTAAGACCATCGGAAAACACATATAATTACATATTGTTTTTGTGATTAATCACTATGCTTTCATTATGTTCAAACTGTAACAATGAAAATACATCCTGCATATCAGATATTTACATTACGATTCATAACAGTAGCAAAATTACAGTTATGAAGTAGCAACGAAAATAATTTTATGGTTGGGGGTCACCACAACATGAAGAACTGTATTAAAGGGTCGCGGCATTAGGAAGGTTGAGAACTGCTGCCTTAGAGGATTCGCTCTGCCTCGAGGTCTTTACTCTCCTGCCATAGGGTCATAGAATTGTCGTGTTCTG